AGATTAATTAGGGGAATGAATGACTAAATTTTTGATTGTCTATCTGACTGACTGACTAAATGATTGATTGCAGGGTCGACAGAATAAAACCCTTTATATATGACTAACTGACTAATGTGTTAAATAGATGTCTTCATTTTTAATACGCCCTTCTGTCTGACTAATTGGCTGACTGACTGATTGACTGATTGACTGGTTTACAGACAGATTGACTAGCTGAGACACTTACTTTGTGGGTGAGCAAATTGGTTAGTGAGTGATTGGATTTTGGATTGACAGAATAACTGAATGATCGTATTTCTATCTGTCCGACCAACTGACTGACTATATGTCGTACTGGCACACCGACCGATTGACTGACTGACTGACTATTTGTTTGTCTGACCGACTAATCATCTGACTAAATGACTGAATGATTAGATGCTTGACTGTCTGGTTGAATGACTGACCGACCGAGAGCACTATTGGGTGTGTGTTTAATGTGTCCCTCTTCCACCGTTTCAGGTATCACGCCCTCGACAGCGAAGTCCGAAAGAGGCCAATCGTGGATAAAGACACGGCGAGCGAGCACTGTTGAGGGAGTGATGATGCGAGACCGGCACGTCTGACACCCCTTTGGCCACCTCAGCAGCCAATTCTCGTTGACAGGTCTCCGTGGCTGGCTGTACAAATCGGTGCGTCTGCCAAATGCTCGAAGTGACGAGATGTGGCCTCAGGCTGTCCGGACTTTGATGCACTCTCTGCACAGCCTGAGCATTCGTCACGCCGGTGTCTATGGCAACGGAAATCGGGATGAATCTTGACTGTTGTTGACCCGACGAGCCGGCCAGCAGGGAATCGGCCGGCTGGGTTGTCAGGGCAGAGGTGACTGAAGCCGAATGGTCTCTTGGAAATCGTCGCCTGAGGCCTGCTTCTGGCAGGATCTGGTGAAACTGATGCGAAAGTGGCAGCGGAGATCCGATAGAAGGAGAGGTGGGCGAACGGGACAATCGGGCTATAGAAGGAGAAAGCTGCTGTTGTTGTTGCTGCTGTTGCTCTTGTTGTGGATGAGGATGATGAGGATGAACAAGAGGATGATATTGCGGCTGTTGTTGTTGAGACTGTTGGCTGTTTTGCCACATGTTGGACACCATAGAGACAGGGTAATTGATCGAGGAGCTAGTGGAGTTGCTAGGCGACATTGTGTTTGTCTGTTGTCG